CTTTAATGTTCATAACGTAGCTTAATTGCTCGCTCTTTGATTAATTTTCTTGGTATATAGTAGTAGTTTCATTGTTAGATTTTACCTTCTTTAATGTTCATAACGTAGCTTAATTGCTCGCTCTTTGATTAATTTTCTTGGTATATAGTAGTAGTTTCATTGTTAGATTTTACCTTCTTTAATGTTCATAACGTAGCTTAATTGCTCGCTCTTTGATTAATTTTCTTGGTACATAGAGACATTTCAAAATACAATGAGATGTGGGTGAATAAACACACACATATACGCAAACTTAGATATAAAATTTACTTACAAATTATTAAAACTACCAATGTCTTAATTTGTATTAATGCAATGACGATAATTTGCATAGTAAAGAAGATACGTATTTTATTTAACACTTTATACGACCGGAGAGTATTTGAAGATACATATTTGGTCGTATAAAGTGTTAAATAGGAGAGTATTTGAAGATACATATTTGGTTATTTACACAAAGAATGAAACAAATACCGTACATAATGAAGCGGTTCCTTCTGTTGAACCAAAGAATTCATAAATCTGCTCAATGTTGAATCTTTTTGTGAATTTCTCCCAGATGTGTACTCTAAGCCCATTCCCAGACATTATTCTGACCTTGTGTTGTTTGTCTATGGGACGTTCTGGTTGAGCTAATAGATAACGACATATCTCTCCAATATATTGCGCTACCTGCAAAACAGGCAAACAAAATTCACAATTGCGTGTATGTTTTATTATCTACACGAGTAATAAATGATATAATCATACGTACTGTGATTTAAGATTATTGATAGTAGCATATATTATAAACCAACCAAATAAATGAAATAAAATACACTAAATAAGTTAACAATGGAATTACTACTACTATATACGAAGGAAATCAATTAAATACGAAAAATATGTAACAAACATTAAATACGTTAACAATGGAGCAACTATTACGTCTTTAAAAAATAAATGATATAATAATAATGTTTGTTAGAAAGTGTAATTAAACAGTATGAATGTAAGAATGAAACTACTAAAATGTAAGAATGAAACTACTAAAATGTAAGAATGAAACTACTAAAATGTAAGAATGAAACTACTAAAATGTAAGAATGAAACTACTAAAAATGTAAGAATGAAACTACTAAAATGTAAGAATGAAACTACTAAAAATGTAAGAATGAAACTACTAAAATGTAAGAATGAAACTACTAAAAATATGAAAGATTGAACAATACAACTAGATAATTAACAATTAAGTTAACAGAGGAATTATTAATATATATATATATATATACATCTAAGTTTACACACGGTTAAAAATTAACTATGGTGCATCGTGTTAACACAAGAATTCGTACTGAAGCGATGACGACAAACTGCACAATGAAGAAATTGCTCGTTTGGGTAAATTAATTGCTAAACAGGAAAGTCGGTAAAGACAGTTGTCTTACGTCATTCATTTACAAGTCTTCAAGACATTATCGAAAACAAAAGCAAGAAATGTTGAACGGGTAATACGATTGGAACGCGAGTAGATTAGGTTTTGATGTTTCGACTTTTATAAGAAAGTCCCCATCAAAAGAGAGTAACGACCTAAGCTAATCTAATACGAAATACCCGAGTGAATTGGAACTCTAATGAGTGAGTTATCTGAAGATTCTTCACTAGTTTGGAATATTGTCTCTGATATTCAAATTTCTGATATTAGAAGCTAAAAAATGGACTGTGAATTTTTTTTTAATGGATTTATCACAGTCATTTTGCATCTATGCTAGGATTATACAAAGCAAAGCGATGAAAGTTCCCTAATTTGTGGCGTAAACATCGGATTGTGGAGCCGATTTAACCTTCCCAGCACAAAGAACACGCGTATCTTTACTAAACTAGTAACTTTATTAGTTTGGGAAAGTTATCTTTAAAGGAAAAACATGAAAAATTCGAAAAGCATTTTAAAGATAAATTTTGATAGTATTCTGTAGAAAGACTTTTCTCAGAAGTTGCTGAGATTAGTTTTTTAAGACAAAGGATCTTTCACCAATGTAAGACGTCTAAAAACAATGGATCCATTAAGCCATCAAACAATATGTCCAAATATTAATGTTCATCATTCTTCCATTAACTTTTTACTGACAATTTAGATTAATTTAGACTGTCCATAATGATTTTGTATTGAAATTACCTTAACTCGTTGCTCTTTTTCTGACGATGATTCTGTGATAAAAGTCAAAACGTCAAAGCCTAATCTACTCACGTTCCTTCATTTATATTCTATATTTCTTGCTCCAGTTTTGATAACTTTGACGATTTATGAATTGATAACGTAAATTAAGTATCTTCAAATACTCTCCTATTTAACACTTTATACGACCAAATATGTGTCTTCAAGTACTCTTCTATTTAACACTTTATATGCCTAAAGTACGATGTGTTCAGGACTTGTTTTCGCGGCTCAACATATTTATCTTTCACACAAACAACTCAAATATTGAGACTATTAATTTAAGATCTTAGTTTCATTCTTTGTGTAAATACTTAAAGTACGATGTGTTCAGGACTTGTTTTCGCGGCTCAACTTATTTATCTTTCACACAAACAACTCAAATATTGAAACTATTAATTTAAGATCTTAGTTTCATTCTTTGTGTAAATG